TTCCTCTGCCTTTCTTAACATAAGTCAAATCTAAAACATCTATTCTCTTAATTGGATCATCAGATGGTCGACGCTTAATGTGACCAAACCATCAAAGACTACTTTCTCTAATTTTGTCCGTCACAAGAGCTACATATCATGAGTGTGGAATATGAGATAAAAATGCTATATAAGTTATTCTTGATTTCATGGTAAATAGTGATCTTACAATAATGAATACAAACTTTGAGAAATGAAAATACCACTAAACTGTATGCAAAATTGGAGCTACCAAATAATAAATATATATATTTTTATTTTTTATTTTCCAGTAAGGTGATTTTTTGGAACAGTTTAATCACACAACATTATAGTCATACCTCTTAAGATTATCAAAAATTAAATTAGAAAAAATGCAATCAAAGAAATAGTTGTCCAGAGATAATGTGATAGATTTGAAAGTTGATAAATTGTTAATTTTTCAAGCTAAATTTCCTAAAGATACAGTTAACAATTCTTTAGTTGAGCCAAACAAGATGTGAGGTAAGAGAACTTATTCTATTAAAAAATTATCGTAGAAGTTTTAGAAGAGTGTATAAAATAATCATGCAAATCTATTGGTAGAGTTAGAAGTTACATAAGGTTTTTAAGAAAAAATATTCTTTAGAAAAGAGGAAAAAACTAAATACTATTAATGATTATAGTAATGCAAAAAATTTTTGCAAATAGTTTATTGACCAAAGTAAAATCCAGTAATTTTTTATGGTCTTATGTTATCTGCTAGGTACTAAGAAAAATGTTATATATATATGTGAAATTCATTAGAATTTATAAGATTTTAATTAAATATGAAAATAGTTAAAATTTATACTATGAGAAATTTTTAAATGAATGCTTTAGAAAAGAAATTATTTTGAATTAACATAATGTATAAAATAAGTAGGTGCATTATAAGTTGACACATGTAAAGGATTGAGTTAGCTCTTAAAAAGATGCACACATGGACTGTTCAAAGATTTGAGCTGCAATTATGTTAGAGGAATAACTGGAGTGATGTCTATTGAAGATTTGATAAATGAAATAAATCTAAGTGGCTTAGACATATACAAATGTTAATGGATGAGAAAGGAGAAGGCAATAAAGGCCCAAGATAACATGAATTAAATTTGTTCAAAATGATTTTGAGAAGAAGATATTTTATGCCATGCAACACTCATTTGGAACAATTGAAAAATGAGAATTTGTCATAATTGGGATAAGGCTAATGATTAGGATGTTGATGAGCGGATCTTCTAGCATAAAATCAAATTCATTTTCGATGCTGTAACTATTTTTCTATTTGATTCTTCTCTAAATATACCATTTTGAGCTGCACTTCTGTTCATAAGTTCTAGCACCAAAATCCTTTTTTCTCTAATCATTTGGTATCCTTTTAGTTTTTAAGATTCCAATGAAAAGGTTAACAAGCAAGCTACTTTGTGACCTTTCATAATACTTCAAATCTTAATATGCACTCATTTGCATCTAAAAGTGTACTTAATGCATTTTCGTTATAATTAACTAAACTTCAGTTTTTCTTTTTGCCAATCTTGAATATGCTTTGTAGTTTTGTTCTTTATGCTCCTCTAAAAGATTTATTCTGAAACAACCGCATTTTTGGAGTTTTTAAAATGATAGTTTTAGTCTTTCAATAATGTCTTAATTTTGAACTAAGATCTTATCATTTGTTCCTGTTAGTACATCTAAAAATATCTGAGTTTTTAGAAATTTTAATTTATTATGTTAAGTTTTTTATTACATTTTCTAATTTATTATTACTTAATATTTGTATAAATCATAGAACTAATATGTTTTGTTTTTTTTTTCTACCCAATTTTTTATGCATTCTTGTTTCTTCATAGTAATTGTTAAGCTCAATAAGATTTATCTTTTGCCATTTTGTTTCAAATACATTTTCTTTCATAAATAAATTTTGTATTGCTTTACCATATTTTGCTTTTGTATGATCTATTTTTATACTCTTTTAAGATTTTAATGCAAAACCCTTATAATGCAACTCAAATGCAATTTACTCCTTTACGAACCTGCATTGAATGATTAATAACTTATCATCATTTTTGTTCTACCATTTTCGAGGAACTTATTCCATTTATTTTTTCTTTTGTGTCAATATTTAAAATTACGTAATTAGATATTGAGGAATTTTTTGTTTGTGTGGTGAGGCTTAAGCTCAACATCAACAAATTACATTAAAAAAGACATCTTTTACTAAGTTTAAAGTACGTAATAAGTAGTAAGATATTAACATCCTAATATAATGAATGTAACTAATTGAGACTAACATATTAGCATCCAAATATTAATCATACAATAAAAATATTGTACAAAAATTAAAATAAGACATAATAACAGTCTTCAACTAAGTTTGGTTTAAATAGTTTTTTTCTACTCCTGTTGTCCTATGAAAATAAGAACATACTAAGCCACTAAGGTTGGAATATTAAAATTTAAAAGTCCTCATCAATCGTATCACTCAATGATGCTTCATCGGAATCATCTACATAACAACTTGTTTTCTCTCTCATTTTATGTCAATTATATCCATGTTTTCTCATTTTTTTCTTCTTATCTTAAATCTCAATTATCTATCTCTTAGTTAATATTGATATTTATTAGAGTTTAAAAGAATGATAATGTTGATTTCAACAACTTCAATTACATCCTCAATTGCAAATCATGTGTATAAACAAAGAATGCTTATTAGTGTTATTTATTTATTATTTTAAAGAAAAAGTATTATTCTAATTGCGCATACCTCACTAAACGGAGACAAGGAGACATTGATGTGGGCCTCATATTATGTGAGGCATAAGCCTCATATAGTACCCAATAAGGCATCAGCTTTATTATAAATTTTTCAGAAAAGCATTGTAGCGGGCCTCAAGTTTGGCTACATATTGAGCAATTTTAAACTATGCTTTGTAGCTTTTAGATATCATCCATTATTACTCATATATGTTGAGATTGTTATTTTTTGTACCTTTTGCCATTATTTTTATACTCTTTCAATTTTTAGCTCCACTTTTGAGTGTAATTTAAGTGTTCTTCTCATTTGTTAGAGTATATAAGAGCAATACCCAATGTATTGAGCTTCGGCTAGTGCAGTGTTTGGGGAGGTGTTAATGTATGCTGCCTTTAATACTTGTAGAGAGGCTATTTCTATTACTCAAATTTGGATTTCTCTATTTTGTAAGATAATGTTTGCTATTTTAATACTATATGGTAAGATCAAGTTTAGCATCACATACTACATTCTATTTCCATATTTCATTCCAAATATGAATTACCTATAGCCCACACTTTTAAGGCCAAAATATTTATTTAAGTTGCGACCAATAATATCCTCTTTTCTTTTGGTATGTATTATAGTGGTTAATCTTTGTCTTCCAAAATTTAATTCTTTTAAATTCAACTTCAAATCCAATCTAAAGAACATAAGCAGTAACATCATTTATAATGTTAACTTATTAATGGTCACCATGGTCACCATATCGGTGACAATATTCACTTTAATATTTGTAAGTTTTTGACTTTCTATCTACCACTATATTGCCACATAACTATTTTTAACCTTCCTTATCTGCAACAACTAATAACCTTCCCTTCAGTATTTGAGTTTCTCCCCTTTCTATATAAAATTTTTTGTAAGCATGTAATAATTGTTCTTTGCTAGTCATTTTGTGTTTTAATTCGCTGGGATTCACATGTGAAGTCCTCAAATTTGTTGTGTCAGTTCTAAATTTATTTTTAAACTTTGGTGCCAAATTCTCAACATATATAGGTTAAGTTAGCATAACTTATATGTTGACGCAGGCTTCTAAACAACCTTAGCATGCTTCTCATCATAATCAATCTATGGCATAGCACTTATAGATGATTTCCGAAGCCCTGTCTACTACTCACCCAAATCAGGCTAGGCCATGATACATTACTTCTAGAAAATGCTCTATCGCTAGCAGATTCATTTTATGATTTTTTTTCATATAACATCAATCCTTTCTATATAAATTTTTTTGTAAGCATGTATTAATTTTTCTTTTGCTAGTCATTTTGTCTTCCAATTCACTTGGATTCAGATGTGAAGTCCTCAAATTTGATGTAACAAATCAATATATAATTCTAGACTTTGGTGCCAACTTCTCCACGTATTCAGGTTAAGTTAGCATAACTTATATGTCAACTTAGGCTTCTAGACAACCTTAGCATGCTTCTCATCATAATCACTTTGTGTCATATCATTTATAGGTGATTTCGAAAGCCCTGTCTACGACTCACCCAAATCAGGTTAGGCCATGCTACATTGCTTCTAGAGAATGCTCTATCATCAGAAAGCATTGAATTTAGATTCATTTTATGATTTATTTTCATATAACACGAAGCATCAGTTTTTTACATCCGGGTTCGAGACCGCAAAAATAGTTCTTAGAACCCTGAAATTATTATTTCTAAAAGGGTTATAATTTAAATTTCTTCTAATCCATTTTAAATACATTAGAATATTATTTTTTGTTGCATTATAGCCCAAAGGAGGAACTTAATTCATATCTTTCAGATGAAAACGCTTCTGATGGGTCTTTACAACATAGAAGTGCTAGTGCTTCATCACTCAGCATACTCAAGATAGAAAGATTGTAACGCTATACAATGACTTGTAGATTAAATTTACTTTTATTTATAAGTTTCCAGATTCTTTCTCTTTCTTACTAATTCTCCAATTGTTCTGCATTATCATTTATCTGTCATTTTCATACACTAAATTTTCCTTATGTAACTCCATCTACCTTCTTGTTTCCTTAAATTCCAATTTTCAGCGGAGCATATTTATTTCAACATTGTCAAAGCAAAAATATTGTGATTAAAAGCAGTTTTTCTGTGGTGCCTACTGTTGTCATCTGTACTATTTTCCATATTTTGCAGGCCTTTATGCATAATAATGTTTGTGATCATTGACTAATTTTCAGGTGTCATGCCTCCGAGATAATTATGCATATCTTTTGCATGATTTGGACACTGGTACAGTTGCGGTCGTTGATCCTTCTGAAGCTTTTCCTGTCATAAAGGTCCTAACGCAAAGAAATCAGAACTTAACATACATATTGAATACTCATCATCACTATGATCACACTGGTGGGAATATGGAGTTAAAAGAAAGGTATGGTGCAAAGGTATGTAACAGGTACTTATGCAAAGTTATATATTGAATATTCTTCGCATTCATGATATTGTTCTTGTTTGTCCAGCTCTTATTGATATATATACTTTCTGCTGTCCTTTAATATAGTTTCTGAGTGAAGTTATTGAGTTTTTTAAAATTTCTATCATTTCTATTTTGGAGAGGCAACTTGGATTAATAAAATATTATTTGCTTAAATTAACACAACTAATCAGATATTAGGAGCTGAAGGTTATGTGGCGAATTCATCAATTGGAAACTGGGTGGTAACAATACCAAGAAGATTGATGGGAGGGAACACCACGTAGGAGGAATGGTGAAGCAGGAGAGAGAGATAAGAAGAAAAAAAGAAAAAACCAATGCTTGAAACTTTGATTCTCTGTAATCATGAGGTGGAGTAGATATGTTAGGATTGTCATAGAAGTGTTTGTATTTTGTAATTAGCTATAAATTTAATTTGTATAAACTGAACTGTTATGCCAAAAGTGAACTGAACTTTGTTTCTTACTTGAGTATCAACATGTGCTTCAAAAACCCAAATAAAAGGTTAGTTCATTTTGTCATCCTGGATTGGGATATGCTTCAAATCAGCAACCATAAAATGTTGTGTGATTAATTTTAAACTACGACTGAGAAATTAGAACTGCATTCATAATTTACAATACATGTAACTTAACAGCCTAAGGGTGTCATTTTGATAGCATACTGCCTTTTTAAAGTTTGCAGTTTTTGTTCCACATATCATCATGAAACAAATGGGGGAATGATGAATGGTCTTAATTTGAAATGGCTCAATAGTTTGATGTTAAGCCACACATTGATCCCTTGTATGTATTTATTTGCTCAAGAAAGGTCTTAACTTTTCGTTAGAGGACATTGTTTGACTGCTATCTATGGGCACAGGTGATTGGCTCGGGCAAGGACAGGGATAGAATTCCTGGAATTGATTTAGCTCTTGATGATGGAGATGCATGGATGTTTGCAGGCCATAAGGTGCTTGTAATGGAAACTCCGGGTCACACAAAAGGTTGGGGTTTTTGTTTAAAATTGTAAAATAGCAATTTGTTCTCATCTCAGCTATTTTTTAGAACACTGGCCTACGACCTATTTATAATTATGCAATTTGTCTTTGGATTGTACTATCTTGAATGCATCTGAAAGATTATGCTTTTCTATGAATTTATTCAAGCTTTATTTTCTTTGTTTTTTTTTTAATAATTTTTTTCGGTGGATGTGGACCGTTTTAATTTTAAAACTTTAAAAACTTGGTTTATGATTTTTTGAAAAAAAGAGAGATGAGTTTTATAAATATGAAAATAGTTTTGATGTAAATATAATTTTTTGAAAGTAATTTTTTAATTTAAAAATAGATGAGACCAAACGAGTATCACATTTTGGATAGTTTGGATGACTAAGCATGATACCACAAGTAATACACTTATTTCGAAAAATAAACATATCACTTGTAGTAGGCTCAATCACCTAAACTAAAGAGTTTGTGACATCCGTTTGGTCTGCGATATATGAGACCAACAAGTTCTCCTACTTAATATATGAATTAGATAGGGTTTATTTTACGTGGGTTCCAAGTCCCTATAAAGTCAAACCCTTATAGTTAATTACATCTTAAATGACCGGGGTCACTTAAAAAAACTCTCGATTAAGATCAGTGGTTTTACCTTCCGGATTTTAAAGTTTAGGCTTCCACGATCGGACATGAGAAAATCAAATGGATTGGTTCAAATAGGAACAATTATTTTAAGGAATCTAAAGGAATGAAAAGTAGGGGATATCACGGATCCGACCTCCCAACTATCCTATTGTTTGGCTTTATGTCTTTGGAATAATGTTATTTAATGTTTTAATCTTACAATTTATTTAGAATTTAGGACTTATGTTCACACGATATCTAATCGTGTAGATAGCCTAAAAAGATAGGAGGATTTACACCATACCGTATGGTAATCTCAAAATCCTAAAGTGTTATGACTTATAATTGCATAACCAGGGTTGTGTAAAAGCCTAAAGGTGATATGCGAGGTTTTATGTTGCACTAGGCAAACCACCTCAAAATCCTAAGAGTTGCTATTTAAACTAAGGAAAGTGATCGGTGAGAATGTGTTTTGATGTTGCAGATCCATCTTTAAGTTATTCCTCGTTGCGCTGCGCACGGTGTTTGCTTCAAGTTCTTCATCGTAACACCTTTGGGTTTAATGTTAATCCTATATAACCACTAGGTTTTCCTATATTTAGGTATAGTGTATACTAAAACAATAAAACATGCGGTTTATAAAAAAAAAGGGGTACAACATGCTAGGAGAATAGTATAACATGCTAGGAAATAAGCGGTATGACATGCTAGGGAAAAATAATATAACATGCTAGGAAATAAGCGATATAACATGCTAGGGAAAAGCAGTATAACATGCTAGGAAATAAAAATGCTGCAATGTAAATCACACCTGTATATTTTGAGGTATGCTGCTCCTTTAAGCTAGCTATTATTCACTGTATAAACAAAAGAAAACATTGCATGGAAAACTCAAGAAAATCGACAAATAATCCATAACGGAAAACTCGAGAAATCGACAAATAATCCACAACGGAAAACTTGGGAAAATTGACGAGTAACAATTCAAATAAAACTATCAAAACCTCGAGAAAATCCCGGAGAAAAGACCACGAGTGCTTTGTCCAAAAATTCCAAGAAAACATATGAAAAGTCCGAAGAGAGGGGACCGCAAACACTCGGGTTGGGGCTAGGCTCAAATATATATATTTGTACTCGAGGGACGTCGAAGGTTACTCGGTCACCCGAATGTATAAAACCCGTCACTCCACTAAAAGAATATCCTACTGAACCTAACTTAGGAGGGTACTCCTTAGCCTAGAATCAGTAATCAACAAGTGGACAACCCAGTTGTATCATATTTAAAATTTAAATTTTAGCATGCACATGCATTTCAAGCATACAAAAGGAAAGTTGTATTTAATTTTTTAATGAAAATATTTTTAATAAATATTGTATCTGTTCTTATCAATTTGTTTTATGAATTTTGAAAAAGTATAGCTATCCACAAGTCGATCACGCATCGGGCCTTGGACTACCAACAACCTAAGAAGGTACGGGTCCCCATTTAGTCTTATGTTGGTGAATGATACTTTCATTCTACAGTTCATCAGGTCCCAGAATTGAGTCTTGGTGTTGTAACATGAGATATCATTTTGTTCTACCACCGGCGTGCATTTGTCATCATCGCCCTACGCCCCAAAACAAAACCGACCTACTTGCGACCTTGCTTGATGGTTTCATATGTAGCAAAAGACTATATCTGAGCACTTATGTATCAAACATAGGTACAAAAAATCGAACCAAGAAACAAAGAAAAAAAGAATAAAAATGAGGATGAGAGAGAGAGAGGAGGAATTGATCCACCCAAAAGATCGAAAGACAAAAGGGTGAAGCAACCTCAAAAGAGAGTCTGAGATCCTTGAATCAATCCAAAAAAAGAATATTATTTTCTCAAATTTATATAATTGGATCAACCTAAGAAATGTATCCTTTCCAAATTTTATTTCAAATAGATTGAAAAAGGCTCAAGGTTAACATGACACTGTACTCATGGCTCCATCCCTTGTATGCACTCACACACCTAATCCTGAACCTAAATATAGCATTTATGTCATCCAAATTTTAATATCAAACTTTCAAAACTCTTTTCCAAATAACAATTTCATAAATCTTCAAATCCCTTCATGAATTTAATTCATATAAGCTTTCTAATTTCCCAAAACAAAAATCATTAAAAGCTTTGCACAAATCTCAAAGATAGGAGAAATTAATCAGTAGAGGGGGGAAACACCAACCTGAAATAATCCATGAAAAAAAAATCATCAATTAAGGCTCACGGATAAAGGGGCAGCAAGAGGAAAACTCCCACCCGAATTAAACTCCAGCCAAATACAACATGAACCACAATAGTAAGGGTCACGGGTAAAGGATAACAAGAGGACGATATTCATCCCTTAGGCTCACGGGCAAAGACAGCGAGAGGAAGGCCATGAAGGCCATAAACATCAAATAAGACTCACGGCCAAAGCAGCAGAAAAGGAAATCACCATAAGTAACACCATTACAATGTATTTGATATACATAAGAGAGTGAATGGACAAGCTATTATAGATCATTAAGATCGAACCCATTTTCATCGAACCCGCTTTCATCCCATAAGGCATGACAATGTTCAAATTAAACATTCCCACATAGAGTTAGACATACCAATAAAAACCTTAGAAGAAGGAGCATTAAAGAGGAGGCCCCAACCAAACCACGCCCAACAAAGGGGTCAATCCGAGCTCAAGGAATGAACCAATCAGTAAGAAATTTCAGCCAAACAAAAATCACCAAAAAGGAGCCCAACCCGAGCCTAAGAAAGGGGCAAACCGAGCCCAGCACAGGGGCAAACCAAGCCCAAGGAATGGTCCAAAACAGTAAGGGATTCTAGCCAACATAAATCATCAAAAGGAGCCCAAACCGAGCCCAAAGAAGGGTAAAACCGGGAAAGGGGCAAAAACCGAGCAGCAAAGGGGCGAAATCCAGCCCGACACAAGGGCAAAACCGAAACCATATCCACCATAAAAAAAAAAAAAAACTTTGAAACCAAATTCCAGCTATTTATATGTTTTAAAATGATCCAAAACCGAGCCCGATTTATGGGCAAAAATAAGAACAATGATTCCAGCATTTATCCAGCCCTGCACAACTAAACCGAGCCCAAGATGGACAAAACTGAGCAGCATAGAGGCTAAACCGAGCTCCAAGATAAGAAGGTTCCAACTTTTGTATCAAATGGTGATAGACAATAGGTAAACATGAATAAATCCTTTTAGAGCCAACATTTTCCAACATTTATTCTAAGCATGAATAACAATAATAAAAGCTTTGATAATTTCTTCTATCATGCATTTCTAGAGGGATGAACTTCATTTCCAAGCTACCAATATAATGTTTCCAAGTATTTCAAGCAAAAAGAATAGAGGCAGCGCATACATGCTTTCCTTTTACTGAATCTAACATGTATCAATGCCTATGCTTGAGAATAAACTAAGCCATGTTTCCATTATTTTTTGTAAGAGGATAGAGATGCCTCAAAATGCCATCCTAAATAAAATAAAATAGGATCTAAATAAAATAAAATAGGAAGATGGGGAAGAATACCTCTTTTGAGCAGATTTAAGATAAAAAATTGAAGTACAATTTCAAGAAAATCACTTCAAGAGAAATATTCCTCCTAAAGACTTCAAGAAATGACAACCACGAATGCTCCACACCACAGGCACCCGAAAGTATAGCTTAGAGAGGATTTTCGGCAAAGTAAACAACACTCTAGAGAGGATTTTCGGCAAAGTAAACAACACTCCACGAACACCCCATACTCCAAGCGCACGAGAATCAGATTTTAGAGAAGATTTTAACAGAATTTTCTTTCCTAGAGCCTCCCACAGCAAAGATACAGCCTCTCCTTTCTCTCCAAAAATTTTCAACAACCCAAAACAGTGTTTTATGAAGCTCTTTTATATGCAGAGAAGAGGGGAGAGAGCCACCAACCACCGCTTCAGGACCGAATAGAACAAGAGGGACGAAATCGACACAATAAAGAGGGAGAGAGGGAGAGCGTACAACCTACAGCCGCGAGGAGGAGAAGCGTCGGCCAGCTCGCCTCCTGCAATTGGAGAGCCGAGCGGCTAATTTGCCACGTGAAGAAGGGGAAGAGACAGGAGAGTGCGCCGCATACGCGAACGACAGAGGAAAGCCGCGTGGATCTACCATGGAATCTAGGGCACGCGAGAGGAGCAGGATGAACCTCGAGGGATTAAGCGGCGGAACCGAGCCATGGAATGGGTTGGACGATGGCTTAAGTGCGTGGGTAGAGGGGAAATAGGGATTAAAATTATAATTTTAATATTATAAAGTAATAAAATTTATATAATATATAAAATATTTAATATGTCTTAAAAATAAAATTC